CGCGCCATCCCCACCACAGCCAGCGCCCCTCATCCCCGCCCCATGCCCCCCGAGCCAGGCTCGCAGCTCAGCCTCACCAGCTTTCGCCGTCCCGCATTCGACGCGCCCGCCCAGTGTCGCTATTCTCGATGTGGCCCCACTGGCTGTCCGGGTCTGGCATGGCTTCGCGCTGGGGCTCTCCATCTTTTGCCTCAGGAGGCGAGCTCCCTCCGACCGCCGCCATCGCCGCTCGCCCTCTCCTCAGCCCCCGCAGTGGGAGATAGGAAGTGGCCCAACCGCCACTTCCGGATTCTGGTCCCGGAAACGGAAAGAGAGCCCCCTGTCCCGCGGAGGGTCTATTACGCTATTGGAAATGGACCCCTGTGGTGAGGCGCGTCCAAGGGTTAGACGGCCTTGGACCGAGGGCGGGGTCTCTGCGATTAGTGAATAGGCAGGGTAAAACCTCCCCTTGGGAACTTTTTTAAAAAGACCAAGGTGTTTTGTGGGCTTCTAATGCCATGTTGAGTCCAGGCAAGCGGTTGTTTGGAATGTGGAGGCAGAGTTCTCCCGGGTGGACGAGGATATACTGCGGAGTGCCCAAAGGCACACAAAGGTTCCCGGGTCTTCTCTGGTCCGTGGTCTGCTAGGGACCGCGGGTCCCTTACCTTGGGAGCGACGTTTTTCTTAACATGACCAAAATGCCCTTCCTTCAATGCACTACTCTTCTAGTCCCTCAAAACCCAATACAAAACAGGTCACCACCTCCAGGGCGCCACCCAGGCCTGCGGGCCACTTCCCTGCCTGAACTAGATTCTATCTAGACAAATATGTTCAAGACAAGTCAGCCCCAGGCCCTGTATATCTGTAGGTAGTTACAGCAATAAATAGAAATAGTCTTGCTTTATTGCAGGTATTTAGGCAGCAGATAACATCACCTGGCGGGGCAAGCTGAGGACCAGAAATATTCACTCACTTTGCCCCAGCTAGTATGCAGAACTGTATTCCTGAGCTGTGACCTTAAACACCAGGCCAGAGATTCTCAAACTAGGCTTTCCACGGTTCAGGAGACCCTAAGGGAGTTCACAAAGTCAAAACTATTTTCACTATCATTCTCTCTTGAATATGTGGTGGATTTTTCTGGGGACTACATGACATAAGCCAAAAAAAAAGCTTTTTGGATGTCAACTTTTATAAAAGGATCCCAAGATCAAGTTTAATAACCATTGCAGTAGTCTAGGTTTTCTCAGCCTAGGAACTGTTGGCCTTTCTCCATTGTGAGCAGCATTGTAGGATGTTTTGCTGCGTCCCTGGCCCCTACTCACTAGATACCAGTAGCACTCCTCAGTTGGGACAACCAAGTGTCCCCTGGGGGAAGGGCAGGATTATCTCCCATTTAGAACCACTACACTAGGCTATTCCATCCTTCTCTCTGCCAGGGCTCTTGGCCCTACCTGGTGGTAACTTCCATCTTTCAATTATAGTTGACATTCAATACTTTATTAGTTTCAGGTGTATGTTGGTCCCTCCGGCTCCCTGCATCTACCTTTCCATTGGCTATCCCCACATGATCATCAAACTCCCCAAATCAGGCTCATGATTCTGGGTCTGTTCCAGTGACATCCTTCACTTCACCACCCATTCCCACAGGCACACACCTTGCCTTTCCACGTCTCTAGGCCCATGCACACAGGTCCCTGGTGTGTCCAGAATACCCTCTTCTCTACACAGTTCAATCCCTCCCACTCCAATACACAATCTCATTGACTTTTGTCCCGTTAACCTCTTCGTGGCAGGGATTCTCTTTATTACTGTGATTCTAACCCTCTCCCACACCTGGCATAGGTGAGGGGGTCACAACTGTTGTGCAAACTGAGAGAAGGGAGCAGCCCTTTCACCTGGGGTGGTCCCCAGAGTGTCATTTTAGTTTGGCACTTGGCACATTGCTCAAGCCCAGCTGCCTCTTCTCTGAATTGACTCTTTTCATTGCCCCACTGCAGACTCGCCCTCCCCATTTACCTGGGTAGCCTGTCCTTCCTACAATCCAACAGGCCTCCCTCCCCAGACCTGGACTGGATCTCTCCGCCTTCCAGAGGCCAACCTCTGCCCACATCAATGACCCTGCCACTTCCCAGAGCAGCTGTGTGAACGCTAACCTTTCCAGGATCACTTCACCCACGTCTCACCAGGGTTTCCATTACTTCATGGATACCATCCTCTGTTCAGCCTGCCTTACCTGCTTCAATTCAGAGTTCCACTGTTGCATGTGCAACCCCTCAGATGCCTTTTTTAGAATCATGACGTGTCCCTGACCCACCCTCGGTGCTCTCCTAGACAGCGGGGACCAGGTATGAATTCGCCAAGGTCCTAGTACTCACCGTGGGTCAAGTCCACCTTCACCTCTACAGGGATTTGCAATCACATTTTTCACTTCAGACTTTTTAATGTTTCATACAGCGATTATGGTGCATTCAGGAACCCAACCTCCCAAACCCCACTAGGAGGGCCCCCACCCATGCCCTCCCACCCCATTTGAAGGCCCCAGGGTTTAGAGTGGAAGAAGGAGAGGTAACCACCCATCTGGGACTGACCCCAGAGACTGTCCCTGCCCTGCCTCACCCTCCCCAGGGGTTAGGGGTTAACACCTGGGCACAACTCCCCCCAACATGCCTGTCCCTCCCTGTGTACCTATACACACTATGGCTCCTCGCTGAGTTGGTCAGTTCCTGGCAGGGCACCTACTCAACAG